ATGGAACCAATATTGGGGCTCGTACGATGAGTGAAGACAGGCCATTTAAGTATTTAAGTATGTTTCGCTCAAAATGTAAGAGTTATGCGGACGTTTTCACCACCTGTTGTCAAAGTTTTCTTTTTATTTTACCAAAGCGAAATAAAAAAAGAAACTGGTTTATGTAAGTTCTGGGTTAAGAATACTGGATAGCAACTTGTGTGCATGTTCAATCAAAGAAAAAAGTATAAGGCTAGATATAATCATTTTCTCATTTTGAACGGTCAGGCGACGGTAGGAGAGGAAGGAGCCGTGGGCGATAAGCACCGCAACCGCGCAAATGTTCTCCCACACACTCGCATGCATCAATGGCCGACTGCAAGCTTGTCAATTCCTTAATTAAGGAATCGGCTATATTTAATAGTGCAGTAGCGAAGAAGTTTGATGCAAAAGTGTGGTTGGATTTACAATGGCTCAGGACATTTTTGCAAAAAAAAAAAACCTGTTTAGTATCCCTACTCATACTGATTTGACTCAAAAATGATTGCAATGAATTTATAAATCAATAATCGACTAATTGATAGTTGTCTCCGGCTTGCCTCCACATTTAACTTTTATAGTTTTAACGAATCTTGCATTGCTTTTACCCTCACGAGCGAAGTCGATAAACTGAAACAAAATTTTTGTAGAAATTGCCAAGTTCACTTTATTATGCATTGAAAATTTCCACTTACCCCATTGCAGTCAAAATTGGTCAAAGTGTAAAAAAGGGAGAATTTGCCTCCCACATTGATCACCTTTTCTTGTACCTGATTCTTCTTGAAAGACATTTTCTTCGTTTTTATGTAGTCGTTCAGCTTAATGGAGAAATATAATTTTTTGATCTCTCCAAATCGTTCTAGAGAGTCACCAGATTTTTGAACACTTGCAAATGATTGTCGTTCATAGAGGGATCGTAGGCCTGATTGCTGATCACAGTCGCTTCAATAGAGTCGCTCCCGCTGGCTCCCTAAATAAAAGAAGTAAAACTTGAGAGGAAGTTTGGAGATGGTTAGCTTACCTGAGCAGCAGCGAAGAGGACAACTAGGAAGTGGAGAAATACCATTATTTGGTTACAATGAGGGAATGGCACCAACTCATCCTTATATAGCGTGATTACATATCGATAATGTGCCATGTAAGGTTATTACCGACGCTTAACAAAGGCCAACCCTTGAAATGTGATACACTATGTGATTGCATGTAACGTTTTATGGATGTGGTTTTAACTTTTCTGAACCTCCGAAAATAACGGAAGATGAAAGCTGTTGGAAGTGGAAATGTGTAGTCGTAATCATTAGTTTCTACTTTTTGTTCATGTTCTGACAAAATCTGGAAAATATTATTGCAATTTAGCCATCTCATATAAGGACTTTATTTTGAGAGTACACGGTGCATTTTATCAATCTGCTTTTAATTTTTAGTTGAGAAATGATGGTTTACAATATATATGAAAATAGATTCAAAATATAAAGCTGATATATATAGTTTACAAAGCATAGATCAATGTAACATCTAGCAGCACTGAGCAATTGGTACCGTTAAATGCTACTTTGTCATTACTCTCATAATGGTCTTTCTCCCGAACTGACCTACGGTGCTGTATTGTTCGT